AATGGGTATTCTTCCAATATACCAAACACCTGGTTGTTTTAAAAAAATTAATTCAAAAATAAGTACAACATGCATAGATTATTCCACATCACATGCTTTATTTGGACTTAAACACTTATAATTTCATTCTAAACACTTGATTGACATACATTTTGATGTGTGTAGTTAGGCTATACAGAATATACAAACCAAAGCTGTATGAATACATAGGTTTTTCAAAAGTTATGTTTCATAAAGAATACAGAGAAGGGAAAAATAACCACATATCCAATATCTCAAAACTTCTAAAAGTAAAACTACAGAGATGTAAAATATAAACAAATCAAACAACACACAAATTATCATCCTTGAAAGAAAAATTACAGGCCATCATAAGCCATTTTTGAAGAACTAAAATTATTAAAGAAAACATAAATTTATCACAAAGCTAACTATGAGTGTACTAATAGGTAAAATAATATGAAGCAGTATAATTCTACATTAACAAGTTTTTCCATAATATAGTGTAATCTCTCTAATCAAAATTTCTAGTCCTATCTAGTATTAATTTAACTACTGACTTTTATTAATAATTGGTAGCCTAATTTCTGGCATACAGTGTGAAATGACATAATTTCATTAAATTCAAAGTACTATAAATAGTCAATTTTATACTATTTCATAAAGGTGTATGCAAAGGCCTTTTTAAAAAACAAGGCTATGTGAATATAATAAAACTAGTTTCCAAGATTCAAATAACAAAACGGTTATATAAATGCATACATTATACTTCCTAAGTTAAAAACCATCAAAGATCACAAAAATATTACCAAAAAGGAAAGTCATATTTTTTCACCACTCATCTTTGTCCCTGCATCTTCATTAGAGCTGTCTAATTCAGCAAGACCACTTTCTGATTCAGTATGGCTTTCCTGCATTGTCACTGGATTTCCAGCATCACTGTTCGAAGAAGTAGCTGTGGCAGCTGGTTCAGCAGGGCTTTCTTCTCCCTCTACTTTAGCTAGCCTGTAACTAGTCAGCATCTCCTCCAGAAGTTGTCGGTAGTTTCCCCTATGATTAATTCTCATTTGCCTGAGAGCTTCCACCAATTTTCCCTGTGATCCACTTTCCTCTGCTTCATCGGAGGCCTTTTTTTAAGATTCAAGACCCCAGTGTCAGTAGACAAACTAGGATATCACATGTATTTCATAACACATTACAGCAAAACACTAATTTCTCTACCGAAAATATAGTCTAAGCATGAGAACATTTTATTAAATATCAATTCTTACCTGTATCAATAAAAACTTCCAATTATAATATCTCGTCATTTCTAGCAAATTACCATTAACTAGTTTATGTCTTATTTCACAGTCATTTAAAGTTTAATCTGAAATTTACTCAGCTTTTATAATTAAACAGCAACACAAGCATTTCCTAAAGCTGACTTAAAAAAACAATAATTGGCTATATGATATAGTACAAAAGAAAATTAATGTTTAAAGCAGTAGGAAAAGGACAGAAAAGCAGGCCATCAGAACAGTTTCTTCATCATTTCTGCTAAATGATAAGTAGGAGTTATAAAACAAAACTATATAGATTTAAACAGATTTTTGAAAGATTTTAGAGTTTTCATGGATAAAAATTTTATTTACTTTTTGCCCTTAAATATTTTGATAAAAACATCTCTAGATAAAAATATTCTAAGTATGAATAATAAACTACTCAATCTTTTCATATTTTAATACATTTTGGAAAATCTACAGGTTTCTACAATAGTAATTACTTAATACTGTAGACAGAACAAGCACTAATCATCCAAGCTAATCCCAGTTAAGCTGACAGACTAAAATCAAGACATCTTTACATTATGTGCCTCCTGATATGATCCATTATAAAGTACAGTCATGTCCTGTATTTGTGCCAAAAGACATTTAAAATGAATCTAATAATGCTAATTCCCAGTTTACAGGAAAAAAAGGAATAGAGGATCAAGTAAAAAGACACCACGAGAAAACAATCATATGAATCCATAATGCAGGAAGGACTATAAAAAACTGGCTCAACCTCTTCAAAGTCGGTGTAAAGGGGAAAAAACAGGTGAGGCGGCTTGACTGATTAAAGACTTGTTTAATGTGCTTGACTGATGACTTGATTAGACTATGATTCAAAATAACTATTAGTCATTCTGGGGAAATTTAGAGTCGATATTTGAAGACATTATAAAATTTATTATTTTATATACCTACTATGTATACCCAAAAATTAAAAATAAATTTTTTAAAAATTAATTTTCTTAGGTATAATAATGATATTACAGTTATGAAGAAAATTGTCTTCATTTTTAAGAGCTGCATGCTGAAATGTTTACAGGTAAAATATGGTATCTGCAATTTGCTCTCAAAGGGGTCAGTCAAAAAAAAATTGGTAGATATAGAAAGAAAAATATAGCAACTGTGGCAAAATGTTAACAGTTGCTGAATCTCGACAGAAGATATACAGCTGTTCCAACATATCATATCCCTTTTTAAATATGTTTGGAGGTTTTCATCTGACACAAACTTTTAACCATCTTTAGAGACTATTACACTATACTTCTGCAACAAAGATAACACTAATGAAGCCAAATAATAAATGGCAATGTTTTATTAGCAAAATGAGCGCACATGAATATTATTTTTTAAAAAGTTGCCCTCAATGGCCAGGAGCAGCGACTCACATCTGTAATTTCGCCACTTTGGGAGATAGGGGTAAGAGGATTGCTTAAGGTCAGGAATTCAAGGCCAGTCTGGGCAACACAGTGAGACCCCGTCTCTACAAAAAATATTTAAAAGGAATGTGCCTGTAGTCCCAGCTACTCAGGGAACTGAGATGAGAGGCTGAGCTAAGCTCAGGAGGTTGAGACTTCAGTGACCCATGATCATACCGTTGAACTCCAGTCTGGATGACAGAGATCCTCTTAAAAAAATAGTGCTTGTTTTCCTGCCTCAGACATGTCAGGGGAGGGGGAGGAAGTGACCTCAGGGCAAAAAATGAGATGATACTGGGCCAGGTGCAGTGGCTTATGCCTGTAATGGCAGCACTTTGGGAGGCCAAGGCATGTGGATCACTTGAGGTCAAGAGTTTGTGACTAGCCTGGCCAACATGGTGAAACCCCATCTCCACTAAAAATTGCCAGGAGTGGTGGCAGGCACCTGTAATCCCAGCTACTTGGGAGGCTGAGGCAGGAGAATTGCTTGAACCCAGGAGGTGGAGGTTATAGTGAGCCAAGATCACACCCACTGCACTCTAGCCTAAGCACAACAAAGCAAGACACCAATTCCAAAAAAAAAAAAAAAGAGATGATACTGTGTATGGCCCATGTTTTTTGGGTACATTTATGTCTGTGTATCTATTCATTTTAGCTTATGAAAAATACCTGGAAAGAAAGGAAATATAGCAATATAATGATAATGGGTAGGGGAGTTCTAGATATTTTATTTTCTTTGAATTTTCCAATTTTCTACAACAAGCATATTAACTGTCTTTTACTTTGCAAAATTTATTATGTGGACTTAAAACATGTTTCCCTAAATAAAATTTCTCAGCCAGGGCTGGTGGTTCATGCCTGTAATCCCAGCACTTTGGGAGGCCAAAGTGAAAGGATCACTTGAGCCCAGGAGTTTGAGACCAGCCTGGGCAACATACGGAGAACCCGTCTCTACAAAACAAAACTTTTAAAAATTAGGTGTGGCAGCACACACCTGTGGTCCCAGCTACTGGGAAGCTAAGGTGGGAGGATCGCTTTAGCGCAGGAGGTTGAGATTACGCACCCACTACATTTCAGCCTGGGCAATAGAGGAAGACCCTGTTTCAAATGAGTAAATATTAAAAAATAGAGTTTCCCATTTGAATCTATTCAGGAAGGGTTGAGATGGAACAATGTGGGATAAGTGTACTCGAATGATAAACCTTATCAGTCTTTAAAGGGAAATTTTCTACTTTACAGTATATCACAAAGACCTTTTAATGGAGAGCCTACAACCCTCTCCACCAGAAAACTCCCAAACAAAAAAGAAAGAAGGAAAGAAAAAACCCTACCATTTTATTAAAAAAAAATTATAGGACATTAAAACAAAATCTGTCTCAAACTAAATGGCTTACACATATAAGCGATTATCAACCCTGGTTTCATACTGGAATTACCTTAGAGCTTTTAAAATTGCATACATGCCAAAGTTCCATTTTAAAATACACAGATTCAGTGGATTTGGGTTGTTCTTTAAGCCTGACAGGCAATTCTGATATACAGCCAGGGTTGAGAATCACTGATATAGACTAACTGGCATAACTCTATTTAGAGGTGGATTTATGTTGGATGAAAGATTGTACTATTTGGGTCAATTTTGGTGAGGTCAACAGATAAAGTACCTCTCACTCTCAAACTGACACTTTCATTATTAATCACCCATACTTCTGTGAATTGATATAGTAGTGATAGTTGGGGAAGATAAGTTGCCTTTTTTTTTTTTTTTTTTTTTTTGTGACAGAGTTTCACTCATGTTACCCAGGCTGGAGTGTAATGGCCCGATCTCGGCTCACCGCAACCTCCGCCTCCTGGGTTCAGGCAATTCTCCTGCCTCAGCCTCCTGAGTAGCTGGGATTACAGGCACGCACCACCATGCCCAGCTAATTTTTTGTATTTTTAGTAGAGACGGGGGTTTCACCGTGCTGACCAGGATGGTCTCGATCTCTTGACCTCGTGATCCACCCGCCTCGGCCTCCCAAAGTGCTGGGATTACAGGCTTGAGCCACCGCGCCCGGCCGAGAAGTTGCTTTTTAAAAGACATACTAAAACCAAATAATGGCTAAGCAAGGTGGCTCACACCTGTAATCCCAGCACTTTTGGAGGCCAAGGCAGGTGGATCACTTGAGGTCAGGAGTTCGAGACTAGCCTGACCAACATGGTGAAACCTGTCTCAACTAAAAATTAAAAAATTAGCCAGGCATGGTGGTGCATGCCTGTAGTCTCATATTGAAAGGGTGAGGCGGGAGAGTCCCTTGAACCCGGAAAGTGGAGGTTGCAGTGAGCCGAGATCACACCACTGCACTCCAGCCTCGGAGACAGAGTGAGACTCCGTCTCAAAAAAGAAAAAGAAAAAGAAAACCAAACTAGTAAATCAAGTAGAGATGGATTTGCAATGGCTGACATTACAGAATCGCTAAATTGAGAAGAGCTTTAGCTAATGACCACACTTAAAAGTCATTTTATCTTATGGCAAATTATACTTTCTTATCACTCTGGGTAGACAATAGACTACTGAAACCTCTTCCCCAGCCATTACATTTGATTTTTCAAAATACTGTTACATAACTCTCTCATGGGCTTTCATTAATATTAGAAGAGAAACCTATTATCTAGGTTCCTGCACTTTCTTTATCTGAACTCATACAGTTGATATAGCACACCTATTTTTACACATCTATTATAGCAATTAACTCTACCTTGCAGCCGTTCACAAGACTCTCCACTTACACTGCAAACTCTTTGAGAGTAAAGACAATTTCATATTCCATTCTATGTCCTCCTATCATCTAGGGAAGGAAAATTAATATTTGTGCTAAGAAATTTATATACATAATCTTACTGAATCCTCGTAGGTACCCTACAAAGTAAGTACTCCAGTTATCATTTTTATAAGTGAGGAAACTAAGGCTCAGGGCGATTAAGTTATTTGTCAGGGTGACAATCTTAGTAAGTGGCAGAGCTCTGATTCATGCACAGGTATAATTAACATCAACGTCTATCTTTATGCTCTGTTGAATACATTATGGTGAGTAACATTTTTTGCATAGGAAGTACCTCATATAGATAGACTCTTACTAGAAATATTGGTGAAATTATTATAGAACACCACAGGTTATTTCATATTGAAGTTTAGAATATAGTTCATTAATATAGTAAAATTAGTAAAACTGTAAGACACTAGTTATGTTGATTAATACATTGTATCAGATGGGATGTTTACAATTATTATGTAAACTGAAGGCAATTACTGAGATGAGAATTTAGGACATCTCCCATCCACCCTAGTTTTTGTTTTTAAGGTTTTACTATCAGCTAGGCTAACACAGCTTAAAAATAAAATCTCTCACTATGAAAATATTAACTTATACCAAATAAGACAGATAAATTAGATAAATCAAGGAGAGAGTAGTAATAGGAGGGGGAAGGAGGGAAATCTAAGCACATTAAAAAAAATAAAATTTAACCAGCTAATATTTATTTGTAGCAATTACTTATCTCTTAAAATACAGATATCATAACCAAAATTCTTAAAATGATTTCTTATAACAGTGGAGAGAAAGTAAGCACTAGTAAAAATATGTTTCTTGTGGAGTCCTATGCTCTGCTTGTCAGACAAAAAAAAAATTTTTTAACTAAAAATTCTCGAATATGACAAAACTGATGACTAATGAAGATTCTAATAAATTAGACGTTATTTGAAGAATCATGTCAAATTTAATGAATAATCTTAGACAGTATCATTTTAATGGTCAAGATCACACAGCTAAGATAAGTGTTATATCAAATCATACCTTAAAAACATAGTGACTAATGTTAGTGCATTTTCATATAGTATAGGTCTTCTCCATAGCAATGCTTTCACAAGTGAATAAAAAACATGAAAAAACTAGCATTCACATACTTCTAAAAACTGTGACATAAAAATGCAAAAGGCGCTATGGCTATTGCATTTATCTGTTTGAAGTAAAACAGAAAAATGACTGCATGAGAAATTTAATAATGTGGAAACACTACAGAGATTCTTTTGGGCTCAAAAAGAGACTAATCTGTCCTATTTTTCCTCCCCTTCTCTAAGATCCAAATGCCTTACAAAGTTTTTGGATTAAGATAAATAAATATGTGTATTTAAGTAAAAAATAACTGACAAGGAACTGTGTTTGACTGCCTCCTTTCAACAACTTCATAAAATATTCATCATTAAAAACAGAGTATCTTGTGGCTGGGTACAGTGGCTCATGCCTGTAATCAATCCCAGAACATTGGGAGGCTGAGGTGGGAAGATAATTGACCCCAAGGAGTTCAAGACTAGCCCTGGCAATGAAGCGAGACCCTGCCCCTACAAAAAATACAAAAGTGTCCACAAAGAGTGTGGTGCTGTGTGCCTGTAATCCCAGCTACTCAGGAGGCTGAGCTGGGAGGATCACTTGAGCCTGGGAGGTTGAGGCTGCAGTGAACCGTGATAGCACCATAGCACTCCAGCTTGGAACAAAGAACAAGACCCTATTTCAATTAATAAAATAGAGTATCTTAAGACTATTAAACATGATATTTACAGAAGAATAGGAAATGATTTTTCCTGGATTATAGATGAGGTGGTGTACAGACATATATAATCTATAACTACCTTAGAGAGGCCACATGGAATAATGTAAAGAGAATAGGTTTTGGAGTCAGCCTAATTCAAATTCTGGCTGCATGATTTATTTAGCTTTGTGACCTGTACAAGCTACCTCATCTCTCTAAGTCTCATGTGTAAAAGAAGGGTGCTGAGAAGATTACTTATGACTCTGTGTATGTAAAAATAAGGAGCTTGGCACAAGTAGGAGCTTGGTAAATACAAGTCAACCCCCTCCACAACTGTACTCTTGGAAAATCATCAACTTGTGCAACTACTTGATCAGTGGCATACTAATTTGAAAGCCTTACGAGTCTTTCACAAGGAAATAATTTTTTGCATGAAAATATAAAATCCTATAAATATAGACTTTATACCAATTAGTAACCTCAAATTAACTTTTAAATATAGGACTTAAGGACAGTCTTAAGCAAATTACTAGAAATGAATAAATACAAATATTTCCTATTCAAAAAATATTTACTGAGCTCTCACTGTATGCCAGGATTGTTAAACGTGCTTGGACTATAGACATAAATGAATCAATGTCCCAGATCTCACATAATTTATATTCTAGTTATAAAACAAAAACTAGCATTTTAGAAAAAGGGAAGGACTGTGATCCCAAAGCCCATAAGGACAACTTATAGGAAAATGTAGTTTGGTTTTTCTGGAGATTTTCCAAAAGATTTCTGGGGATTCACGAATCCCTAGATTAAGCATCTCTGCTAGACTCTGTCACAAATTTGTATTTTAAAAGTTGGGAAAATATCAATATTGCTTGCAGTAAGAAGATAGAACACATTCTAAAAAGTTAGTTTAGTATGGAACACATACTAAAAAACAAATTTAGTAAACAGCTTGAGAAGCTTCCCCTAAATAGTAACCTTTCTGTATATTAAAATTATTTAATTTCTAAATTATACTCAACTCTACTTTCTGAAATATATTTATTTAAAAGATTTGTCTTAATTATAAGAAAAATGAATGAATCTCTATTTCTAGTGGTACTACCTATAAGCATTTACAACAGAACAATTCTCTCTGATACAAAGCAGACATTTCAGGAGTTTAAAAAAAAAAAATCTCTGATTTAACTGGCTGTAATCCTTTGTTTGAATATCTAAACAAAAATAATTTTTCTTTTTTTTTTTTTTTTTTTTTGAGCCGGGGTTTCACTCTTGTTACCCAGGCTGGAGTGCAATGGCGCAATCTCGGCTCGGTGCAATCTCCGCGTCCTGGGTTCAGGCAATTCTCCTGCCTCAGCCTCCTGAGTAGCTGGGATTACAGGCCATGTGCCACCATGCCCAGCTGATTTTTTGTATTTTTAGTAGAGACGGGGTTTCACCATGTTGACCAGGATGGTCTCGATCTCTTGACCTCGTGATCCACCCACCTCGGCCTCCCAAAGTGCTGGGATTACAGGCTTGAGCCACCGTGCCCGGCCTAATAATTTTTCTTATTAAAAAAACAAACTTAATTTTTATAATACCTTCCAACTTTCTCTCCTCTTTGGTAATTCTACCATACTTTCACCTTTCCTACCCTGCAAGTTAATATCCGGCTCCTGGCAACATCTTCTACACTGTTATGAAGCATTTACGGGGCACCTTTGTGCCTACCTTTTTGTTAAAGTGGGTCAAGTTAAGAGCTAAGATTTAATCACGTCTATATTTTCTTCATTCTTTCTCCTTCTGCAATATTTTTCAGTGCATTTCTGCTACTTGCAATTATGTTTCAACATTTTTCTAAGTTAGTGACTACTGTGAAAAGCATATATTATTTCTCCATTTAGAATTCTAGGTTGCAAAGTCAGTTTTTTTAGTAAACAAGGGAAGTTCCTTTAATCCATATATCTATGTACTGATAAGTTTACACTTATCGTTTGGTCTCTGCAATTATTTCACAACTACCTGACTGCCAGCATCATCTCTTTAATCTAATATGGCAAATGTTTGTGATAGATTAAAATACCATAGATTTTTTTTAAAAAAATCTATCATTCTTATGCTCCAAACATAAGGTGGTTCCTTACCCTAAAATGATGTTCAAAAGGCTGGTTTCTTAGCAAATACCTCTGCAACTTAAATTCTTATTTTTCACCACAGTAATTCTCTGTGTTATCCTTAACAGATGTCCTTTCTTTTGAAGAGATCTTATAGTTTGACTTTGCCTCTCTAGTCTACTTGAAAGGTCATCACCCTCATCTCATTTCTGCCATTCAAATCGTTCTTCAAATCCTATCTTTTCTCTAAGAAGCTAACTTTTCCCCTACTTAGCTGAACTTTCACAGTAATCACTGTCCATTTCAAATGGCAATGGTCACATTCTGGATTTTGTCATTTATTTATTACTAAGCTATGTGAAACATTTTGATCATTTAAGGTGTGTTTATAACTACAGTGCAAGCTGCACTGAGCACACAGGTGGGGTCATGTCTTATGTTTTCTAAGCTTCTCCCTCTATGAATCTACTATATGATACACTGTCAGCGTTTGATCCACTGATATTAATAGAACATTTATGTATAAAAGTAATTAAGTACATATATCCCACTTATATTGTCAAATAATAATCTATTTAAGGCAAGGTTTATTTATTTATTTTAATTATTATTTTTTTAAGGGACGGGGTTTTGTCATGTTGGTCAGGCTAGTTTTGAACTCCTGACTTCAGGTGATCCACCCACCTTGGCCTCCCAAAGTGCTGGGATTACAGGCGTGGGCCACCAC